TACTGCTTATAAACTTCAATCTTCCATGAATCTCGTACATTCATAACTGCTCTGGCGTATCAAATGTAAACAAATGACGTCATATATTAAGAAATGGACAAAGTCCGACAATTTATTTATTAAAGACATTTTTTATGTTTAACGTTGTTATTTATAGATACAAGTATTTAAGCAAATGCTCTGTTTATGATAAACAGTATTAAATAACATTTACCGGCCTGAATGTCAGCGTAAATGACGGTTCCGTATAGGATGCAGGTTCGAATCCTGTCAAAGAACGAATATTTTCTATGAAAATTTCTCGGACATTCAGACCGGTAAATGTTATTTAATACTGTTTATCATAAACAGAGCATTTGCTTAAATACTTGTATCTATAAATAACAACGTTAAACATAAAAAATGTCTTTAATAAATATATATATATATATGTATTCAATTTAGAAGGCACCAGACAGCAGGTTAGTTTATTTTCCAATGAGGTAGAAATTTTGTGAACTGCAACCATACATTTACAGAATATCAACTTCTATATATAGTAGTTCAAAACTGTATAGAATATTTTAATACAAACGCATTTATTTTAGTTTCTTTAGTACAGAATTAACATCATTTATTCATATATAAAATGAGTGAATTTGCATATCACGCAGATAAACAAGTTCATATAGTTATCACACCACCTGACATTCATCAGAAATGGATAACGTATATTTTATTATTTAGATCAAGTCGTTTATTTCAGATGTATTTTCCAATGAATTTCCTAGTGGACAATCTGATTTGTAAAACGAGATTAGAATTCGATTGTAAAATCTAATCAATATCTATCAACTTCTGTCATTAGATTATTTAGTATATCAAATGATAAATACAAGTAAATGATAATTTAAGATATCACATTATAAATACCAGTAAATGATTATTTAAGATATTAATTTTTTTAAGTATTTCGCTCCAAGTAAGGCGGAAGTGCCATCAAGGGGTTACAGAGAGTGGGGGCAAGAGTAAAGAAGCGTGATAGAGGAAAGGATGAACAGAAGCACGGAGAATAAATCAATGCATCTGGAGATGTCGATTGTCATTGCATTTTAATGTTTGGGCATTATAGTTATCAGGGAAGCAAGTAATTGGAAGGGAGTTCCACGTACGGGGAGTGTGATACATGAAGATATTGGAGTAGTAGAGACGGTTACATTTAACCGTCTCAACAGTGAAAGGGTTGGACTGAGATGCCCGTTTAAATTCATGCAGTTTGGTAACCAGCGAAAGTAACTCGTCGGAGCTGTTATTGTGAAAGTATTTGTAGAAAAGACAGAGGAAAACGACGGCACATCTGTGATCTACTGTAAAAGATATGCCAGATCAGGGCCAATAACATTGCATATCCGTCTCTAGATTTTGCCGAGGAGCTTAAGAGGAACAGCGGGGGCTCCAGACCATATATGGCAGCAGTATTCCATGCAAGGGGAAATTGTTGATTTATAGATTTGAAGGATAGACTTAGATGAGAAAAACATTCCGGCGCAACACAGAGAACTAACTTTCCTTGCGTAGATGAAGCTATTGTTTCAATGTAATTGTTGCATCTCAAGTCAGCGGACAGTGTGAGACCAAGCAGTCGCAGAGAGGTGCTCTTGTGGAGTTTAGCATCAGACATTCTAATGGGAAGCAGGAAGGGTCTCTGAGGTGGGTAAAAGGGAGTAGTTTTCGTTTTGTTAACCAGCCATTTCATGCTCCATTCAACAACAGATTGATGATCCTTTTCAAGACCAACGGCCAGGTTAGTTTTTTCAGCGATACTGGATTTGCTATTGAGGCGTGAGTAAATAGTATTGTCGTCTGCGTAGATGGCTACTTGGGAACTGACGACATCGGGAAGATCGTTAATGAAGATTAAATGTTAAATACTAGTAAATTATGATTTAGGATATCAAATGCTAAATACAAGTAAATGATTATTTAGGATATCAAATGATAAATAAATGTAAAGGATTACTTAGACTATCAAATGATAAATACATGTAAAAGCTTAGCAGAAATTTAGAACCGTATGATTCTTCCGGTGGATGATTCTTCTACCAGAAATGTTCAATATATTTTTACTTTCAGGCTAACTATATTGAACTATATTGAACTATATAAGAAAAGAATTCGTGAACATTTTTGTCTCTGAGAATATTCTGAAAATAAATGTTTTTCTTGGATAGTCAGCCTCAGAATGAGGGAAGAATCTAGCCATTTATTTTCACATAAACTTTGTCTTTAAATTATTCCATTGTATTTGCTCCTGCAAATGAGGCAGAAAATTGAGGGGGCAAATGAATATTAAAATATCGTTATTTAGGAAGTAAACTCTGAAGGAAAAAGTGATAAGTTCTTGGTTATCTACCAAGTGATACATGTGTTCTTCATATTGGATATTGAGTTATTTTGATTGTATTGACTCAATTTAAAGTCAGAATTTGAAAATATGACTATAACCGAGTAAGGAATGCAAAGTTCATGGGAAAGCTTGGAATTAGAGAGTTGATTAGGATTTTGAAAATTGAAATATGTGAGTTGAAACGAACTTGTTTACAGCCAGAATTGATCTATAGAAAAGGCCAGTAAGTCTTTTTAATCTGAAATGTTTATGTAGACGTTTTAATTTGTCCACCGTGCAGAAGTTAAAAAGCAACACTATTAACTTTATTCCGATTTGTGCGAGTATCCTTTTTATTACTTTTATCGGCTGTTAAAAGGAAATTTCTGCTTACTCTCTTATGTAGAACTAATCTTTGCTAAGATAATTGTTGAACTGCTCTATTTCAGATAGTCACGGAAATATAATGACAGTATAATAGATTTCATTGTGTTTACGAGATGCGAGGAAGTAGTACAAGACGCCAAATGAAATATAGACGTCATGGTTGGAAAGATCGAGATACTAGTTTGAATAATCCTTGTAATAACAAGAATGACTCTTCATTTAAGAAATTCGCACTGAAATATTATCAGATTTGAATTTCTGACCCTTCGTCTCTTTACGATCAATGTTTGAATAGAGAATCTTGTCTATTTTCTTTAATCTTGTCTACTTCCTAAAAATTATATGCAGAAAGTAAAAATTCAAACAAAGAATATATTATATATAGATATATGTGTGCGTGTGCGTTTAATAAGGTATATTTAAGCAGAAAGTATTCGTCCAAACATGTTTGTTTAAAAGGAACTGACAAGGTCTGTCTGTTTAATTTATTTAATATTCTTCCAATTTTCGAATCCGATGTTGAGTATGGATCTTGAAGTTGTGGATAAACTGTTCTAAGTTCATATTTTGTTATTTTTGTTCAAGTACTTCCGAATGGTACTATTGGCTAAGTTAAAGTAAGAATCCAAAATTAAGAACGCTGATTTTAAAATTGCTCTCGACTTGGAATATTGGTACAAGGTGAATTTTTCGTGAATTTTTCGCCCTCATCCACTGCTTCCAATTTTTAGTCCTGTGTCATTCTAAATATTAAGATTATTTAAAATAAAGCAAATATCTTAATTCGGGAACATATAGTGAAATAGACAATGAGTGTGAGGCTGCCAGAGATTTACAATAAGAATCAAAGGGTCATAAGGGATGAAATTTATTTGCCAGTATGTTCCAAATAATTACATATATTCTTAGTACATTTTCATAAAATATATTCCAGTCATCTAACGTTCCATTGCTTAAAAGTATCATTTTAATTTTGCAGTGACATCTTTCGACCGTATTTTACTTAATTTCTTTATGTGGATTCGTTCTTTTTACTATATTTGGTTGCTCTACTTTGTTGTGTTGCTATGTATGTTAGTTTTATATTAGAAAAATACAAAAAACAACGCCTTAGCGATCCACTTTTTGCCCCTGTTCCATGAGCAAACGTTTTACTCATAGCGGATGAATGAGTATATGTTTCAATAATAGTGTAGCAAATGTTAGACGGTCTTTCTGCATAACATCCACTTTTTAAGATACATATTCTTTTGAAATAGCATTTTCTTCTTTTGACGTTCAATTTCAACATTTCCTGTGGATTTCTTTTATTAAAACGGCGCGTTTGAGTATTTATAAGTATTGTATATGCAACTCAAAAGTATCGTACAGCACTTCCATCAGTAAATTTCTTATTGGGTGTTCATTTCATTGTCATATATTGTTGTAATTTCTTTAAATATATTTTATGTGACCAATTTCGACCTTGAATCTTGTAAAACATTCTGCCAATGCGATTGACTATTTCACCATCTTCTAAACTTCCTTTCCCTGATTTGTAAATCCTAAAGAAAATCTTATCTCCAGCTTTTAAAGATGTACTATGATAAAATTTCATTTTGCTTCCAGGTAACATTTTGTCAAACACTTGTTCAATGAAGAAGTCTGCCCATTTATCAAGGAACTGAATTTCATTTTTAAGGCATGACTTTTTTCATCCTATTTGTTTTGAAGAGCACTGAAACTTTATACAGCAGGGATCAGTTTGATACTGTTGCTCATAAAGACGCCATGAATCCTAAACTTTCCTTTACATAAATATGATTACTTGCAGTACGGAAAATTAATTTAAAAAGTATTAGTTTATAAATTTTCCGCAACAGCGAAAACGGAAAATGCATTTTACTTGTTAACAAATGGTAGAAAGTCAAAGTTGAAATGATACTGATCAAATTCATGATGCTACTGGTGGACCTTACAAATATTCCTATCATCTAAAACAATGAAGTCAATGAGTGATCAAGTATCCGACGGGAATATAAGCTAAAAACTATTAAAGAGACAATATGAAAAGTCAGCAAAAAGTGAGGTTTTCATTTTTTGTTTTACATTTTAATCATTTTTAAAATGCACTATTACATTTTTAAATAAGAGAAAATAGATTCTGATATCTTCATTAAAAGAGAATTTTAATTACAAAGTGATATTGGACTATCACTTTGCTAGTAATTATGGACTCATGTATGCATATGAAGACCTGCATATTTACCGATCTCTGCAGAGACGCCTTCAATACCTGCGTTTTATCACACGTCTCTGCGCATTTGCATCCTCACTTTACTGCGGTTGGTGCCTCGACCAATTTCAAATTCATTTTCATACAGGTTTTCTTCGGCGCAATGTATGTTTGTGATAACGCCCTCCGCGGTATCAATCGACGCAGTATCATATAAATTCTCATCATTTTCTGCATTATTTACGTTCCTATATTCCACGTCTTTTACTGCATTAAAAGAAAAAGAAACACTTTCAATTTAAATTTACGTTACAAAATATAATTTCCAATTATTAGACATGAACATAAAACATAAATGTACTTTAAGTATTGCAGGCAAAAATTTAAACTTTGAACTTGTTTGTATTATATTTATTCTTTAAGAAGATAAAAAGAAAACCAAAATTAAGTTAGATTTTTTTTTTCACACTTCTAAAATCTTTCAGAATTCATTGTGTTAATTCTTTAATTGGAAAGCCATATCTATTCAGGACGCAAGCATTAATAATTCCTTTCTTTGTATATGCCAATCGCTGTAGCACGTTGGAAAAGACAGCTGTAGAGTTTTTTCCGTTGTTTTCATTCATTTAAACTGAAAGGCAGAGTTCAACCAAGCCAATTTTATGTGTATTTTTACGAATTTGAACGCAACAGGATATTCTTGAATTGGAACACAACTTACCAATTCAACTTTCTGTGCCAATAACTACTATACTCCTCAGAAGGTGTGAGGAAAAAAAGGAAAACTTCAATTTTTCTTTAATTTTCTTAACTTCAATGGTGTTTTTAGGAAGTTAAAATGGTTTTCTAACAAAAGTAATATAGTATTTCTTTTCACCCAGCTGGCGACAAATTCAGTACTCTGATGTCAGAAGTATTCTTAATGCCGATTTACAAGGTCGATCCTAAAAAGAAATCATGCATAGGAGGGACTAGTGAGAAGCTCACTTTTCAGCAACCATTATAAAGCATCTGGCACTAAGTATATTTACATTGTACTTGAACGTTTGTAACACACACACACACATACATACACACATATACACACATTGAATTGGATGGGTTATTTGTATGTATCTAGAATTATAGCACATTTTGGCCGTATTCGTAGTAATATTAATAGTGTTGCCTTTTTCCTTTATATTATTAAGGCTTCCATTATTTTTATTGATATTTTTTACATGTGGATTAGGTTATTATCCCTGTATTCTCTACTAACCTCATCCTAAAAATAACCACATATTTGCAAAATCAAAACTTTAAAGAAAAAACATTATTTACGAGTTCAAATGCCCCTTAAGGAACTGTGTTCCCGAGCCAACCGAACATATAAATAATTACATCGGTTACACTACTCCATACCTACTCAGACGGCTTACTTTACACCTATCCAACCACAACTTCACTAGAACCAATTTAAACACACATACAAACTACCCAGTCTCCATCCAAAACATACTATAAGTATAATAATTTTCTAATTATTCATTGTCTTCTTTTATATTCAACACACTTAAATTATCACAATATTCAACATTCCTGATTATAGTCTTATTCAAGTATATTTTGGGTTGCTATTTATTTATATTGTTTTTCTGTTTTTTTTTATTTTACTTTTATTTTTTGATATTTTTCTTCATTTCTATAATTATTAATTTTATTAATTTATAATTAATAATTTTGTTAATTTATGATTTAAATAGTATTTAATTTTAATAGTATTTACTCATTTAATTAATTTAATTCTTCTTATTATTATTAGTATTATTATTATTTTTATTTTCTTTGATTTCTGGCGTTTACACATTTCTTTCCGTGTCCCGCCCAGGGACCTAAGATTAGAAATGACGTCATGACACTTTCCACTGACAAAAAAAAAAAAAAAAAATTACATAGATAAAGCCCTTTGTAAAGTGTGGGCTGTACTTGTCAGAACAATTTTTTGTATCTCCTTGAGGCATGGACTTCCAGGAATCTCTTCAATTAGTTTACTGCAATCATTTCCAACCAGTCCTAGGGCTCCAAATACAACAGGGATTGTTGATGTTCCCATAATTATTATTATTATTATTATTATTATTATTATTATTCCTTAAATAATTTTAAATATAGATTTATTCATCCATTTATTGAGAAACAGTAGTATTGTTAGCATATAATTTTTCGCTTTGAAAACATTTTACGATTATAACATATTTCTTTGGGTGTTTTAATTTTGCTCCTTTACATTTCTTCAGTATTAATATTTTTTGGCAAACTAACATTATATATTATAAGATTGATTAAACATCTTTTATCAAATGGATCTTTTCTTTCATTTCTAAAATGGCAAGAAATACTGCTGTTATTGTAAACTAGTACAGCTATTATTACAACTAGTACGACTACTATTATTGAAATTAATATATACATACATACGTTATATATATATATATATATATATATATATATATATATATATATATATATATATATATATATATATATAGTGAACTTTCTTATCGCGTTCAAAAAGCAAAAAACGTTCTATCATGCACATTTTATATATACTTTTAAAATTTGAATTTATTTAAAATCACAATTCTTGGGTGAACATATTCGAAAATAAGTTCAGAAAGATAATTAAAAAATATGTTGTATATTTTTAAGTAACAGTTACATAAGAGAAATATTCATATCCAATAATTTTATCAAACATGTTGGTTAAATGATATGAAGAACTTCTGTCAACCATTCTTATTAAAAATGAATGTAGACAGAACTTGTCCATATATATATATATATATATATATATATATATATATATATATGTGTGTGTGTGTGTGTGTGTGTGTGTGTGTGTGTGTGTATGTATGTGTTCGTTTGTGTGTGTGTGTGTGTGTGTGTGCATGTGTGTGTATGTATGTGTTCGTTTGTGTGTGTCTGCGTGTGTGAATTTATAAATGTATATACCTGAATTCGTTTTCATTTCAGCTGGTTTTGGTTTGACTTCGGTTTTGGCATCTGTTTTAGTTTTTGACTTTTTCCTCCTGTCGAATGAATAGATTGTAATACAATGGTGAACTTTGAAGTCTCAAGACTGGTTTTCTTCTCTCTGTTTTTATTTTTTTTAATTAAATGCACAAATGTTTTTCACTAATTTGATTTTTTCATGAATTTCAAATCATGTAAATGCCTGTTCTTGATAAGTTTCAGTCAAATAGAAAGAGACTTTTTTCTATCGATTCAGTTATTTTAATCATTCAAATATTTTCTATGTGGATATATTTGCATATTTAAAATCGATATTTACTTCGTTTAGCTTTAACTATCCCAAAACAAAATGAAGAAATCAGTTACTAAACTAAATTATTCCCTCTTCGACGTATGCTAATATGACTAGATAGACACTATTTTACTTTATTTGCCCTTTATTTTATTTTACTTAATTTTGGTACTTTTTCACCTATCCTATAAGTGGGGAAAACTGCTTGAAGAAAAATTAATCTGGACTTTCTCCTTTAGAGTTTAATGAAACGTTATCTAACTTTATATATTGCATTACAATCTTCTTATGTGCATTAAATAACCTTAGAAATATCGTCGCAATGATCGCTTTCCCATTCGGAAGTTAAGTTCTACAGTAATTGGAATAGAGGATGTTAGTGCGCATCCCACTGAGCAACCATTTTAACCTCTCCTACTCCCAATTATGTCTTTTAGTCCTCACACGAGGGCGTGATTGTCACAGTACCTCTACTGTCAGCTTCGTTGGTCACCTCGGCGTGGTGTAATGGTTAGCCAGCTTGTCTCGCTAAAACGGTTACGGCTGAATAGTGAGTTCTATCCTCATTGGATGTCCCATACTTTCGACCTTGTGCCACATCTAAGCAACGCTTAGAAAATCAATACTGTCAGCTTCGTGACAATGGTCACCTTGATTTCTGTGTAAATAATACGTATTTATTATCGCGTACTCTGTATTTTCTTCTTTCCTGGAGGTTTCTATCTTAATGAAGAGTTCTATAGGTGAAACATTTTGTGGGTTGGAGTTATCCGTTATTAGTCAGGGATCTGAACCTTACTTTAACTCCTCTAGAAGATATCACATCACCATCAGTGTATAATATCAGGTTTATTGTAATGCCATTTTGTGAATGCGATCTGGCATTAGTTTTCGGTGCGGCTTTTTAATGCTTTGGTGATTTGTACAGTTGAAGATTTACTTCTAGACAATTTAATCCAACAATTTGACGAACGAACGGCTTGTAGGTGTAGCAGTATCGCTGCCTCTTTCCAATATCTCAGAATACCCAACCTTAACCGCTTCATGTCCAGGGTCAACAGTCATCTGTCCTACATATACTCATAATCTGCACTTCTTACCCAATCCTCTTCCGTTCATACAACAATCGCATTCAGTAACCCTCTATCTTTATTGGCTCTTGAGTGATAAAAATACTTAAAGATAGATAGATAGATAGATAGATAGATATAAATAAATAAATAGTGAAACCTTCAATCGGAATCATGAATTAAGCAGTTATTAAAAAGAAGAGCTGTTGATGCTCTATTTGATATTTCAATATTTCTTCACATTATCCCTAGAACGTTAAATAAAATTGATCGTCTGCAAATATGTTTACGGTATTGCTTCTCTTGTTAAAGTTTTAAAACTTTCTAATGATAAGTGAATATATTCATTGAGCTTTTCTAATTGTAAATTTAATTGCAGAAAATATAATGGCAAATTCGAAACGATAAATATTCTATTTCATGATCTACTTATTTGAAAAATTTGCTCTCAATTCCTATTTATTTGTTTTTTCAGAGATGAGAAATTTTTAATATATGACACTGATTTATTCCAACTAGTGTCTTCATCTTGATTATTAAAGTCACAACGCTTCAGTTGTAGTAAACGTAATACATCTTTCAGTTGTATTTGGTAAGATTCTGGAAATATTGAATCGAAAAACATATCATTTCGTGCACTGAGGTCAAATGCCCTCGAGGATATTTCGTACCAGCTAATTAATATTTCTAACCACACTTTTACTTTTATCGTTAATACGAATCTTACTAACACAAAGTCTACGCGTACGGTCAGGAAGTATAGAGTATGCACTAAACTAACATATCCACCAGGTCATTTCCCCGTAGGTCGTTGTCAAAATAGTACAGGAATATCAACGCAACAAGAGATTATAGAGAACAAAAAATGACTAACAGGATCAAGCAACTGTTTGAATAAAAATGTTATAATGATTGAATTAATTTTAATGAGAATAAACATCAAACTGTTTCAATTCCAATTCCTAAAAAAGGAGTCGGTAAAAAATAAATCCGAACGTAGTCATGTATTTTCTTTTAAAAAGCCTTAGAGTGATCAACTCATCAAAGTTTTTTAAAAAAATCATATTACTTGATTGTATATTCTCTCCTGTGGAATGATGAAATTTGCTAGCAGTCGAATATGCAAATAATTCAACCATCATTTCTCTCCAAAGAAATAAACAACAACATACACACACGCGCGAGCGCACACACATCACACACACACACACACACACACACACACACACACACACACACACACACACACACACACACACACACACTCTCTCTCTCTCTCTCTCTCTCTCTCTCTCTCTCTCTCCCTCTCTCTCTCTCTCTCCCTCTCTCTCTCTCTCTGAAGACACACACACAGGGATTCACACACACAGGGATTCACACACACACTCACACACAGACTTTCTCTGATGCACGCACACACACAGTGGCACATATTTTATTAAGTATACGCGAATTTAATTTTCTGTGTTTAATAAGATGTATCTAGCACTGTGAAAACCATATATTCATCACCCCAACCCCCTTAAATAGGGCAATTAAAATCTTTGCAATAATGGTACAAATTCTATAATTTATTTTCCTAATTGTAAATAAATATTTTCTCTAAAAATTCGAACTGGATCTAATTATAAAGAGTAATCATTATTTAATAACTGATAAGAAATTGATTATTATCAAAATATTAGCGATTTATTTTTTGAAGAAATTATTTGTTTACGGATGGGAAATTTGAAGGAAGCGTAATACTTACAAGAGACAGAAAATCACTTGTATTACGTTGGCCACGATTAATATGGAAATTCCAATGACGAGAGGAATTATGTAAAACTCTAAAACAAAATATAAATTAGCAGAAATGATGGGTACAACATTTTATTAGGTGTTTAAAAACAGACATATGTACAAAAATATTTAAATCAGAAGAGAGAAAGAACAAGAATAAGAGTTGGATCACAAGATAAGACAGAAGCATCGAAAAAGGACACATTAGATATCGCTCGTTCAGAGAAAAGCGAAGACAAATACATGTAAATATAGACAACAAGTAAAACTAGAGTTCTTGAAACAATTTATATTAAGTCTAAGCAGCCTTCCTACTGTAAGTCAAAGAAATGGCTGCAAAGGGATAAATGTGATCTATGTGATGTATTCTGCTAATTCTCTGGTAGCATTTTACGGCCTTTTTGTAATCGCTGTACATATACTTGGATATTTTGATCGAGGAGCAATAACCAGTCAACCCGGGTATTGTTTTTTACTTCGTTATTTTTATATATTTTTTTCATCGACTACGTCACTGTAGGTAATATATTATCTCATTCCTGTCCACCCCATACTTTGTTTTATATACAATTCAACCAGTTCAGGTCAAAAGTACTTTCTGGAAAGTTTCGAGGACAACAAAGGTAAAATATATTTATGTTACATAATCACGTGTCTTGCCTCAGGAAAATAATTTTTCCTTGATTACACATATATAGAAAAACCTAGAGAAAAGTATACATCTTTTTGCACAAACATAAATAAATATAGTTCTTTGCGTTAAACTCTTAAATATTCGCATTAAAACAAAAAGGAAAGTGTTTGTTAATAAAAGGATATTTTGATTTCATTCCATTTCGAAGGAAAAACTTGTACATTATTATCAAGAAAAGTTAAGTGAAAATGTAACACTACCCAACGTGTTATTTTATTTAACTCAAAGTAGCATCGAAATATGACGCAAGTTTTGTTGTTCAAAATCTGAAATTATATTTTACCCAGCTAACACTAAGACAACTTGGAATGAGATGGCAAAATCCAATGATATATCGACCTCATAATGTGTAAATTATGCAATTGTCACATTAGATGTTTAGGCAATAAGGAAAGGCAAATTGGGGCACATACAACGTAATATAACCGCGAAAATATAGGTATATATGTGGACTGTGACGTAGATAGGTCTCATATGGTCAAAAGAGGTCAATTAGGACAAGTATAGACGTTTTGATAGCCGAGGAAATAAACGGATTGTGATGTATATAGATGTCATATGCTCAGTGGGAAAGATATTAAGTATATTCATGCTTTCTTCCGAATATTTTACACCGTATTAACTATACAGATACCTTCTCTCTATCAGCATAACATAGCCATTATCTATAGCAACGTCCTATAGCAACGTTAATGGAAAATAAAATATTAATTTAGCAAGAGAGAAGAGATTCTGAGAAGTTTCGGAATAAACACATTGTATTTGGTCTGGAACTTTACCTGCTTTGGAGTTGTTCAATTCATTTGAATTGTCATAGTACTGTCCAGGTAGTTGGTGATCGTTTTCAGTTTGGTATTTCGAGCAGTTGAAACTACATCTGTAACCACAGTAGCCGGGTAAGCATTCTAAAAAAACATAAACAAACAAAACATAAATGCTCTTCAAATAAATATGATAATTTTATCTCTTGTCGGCGAAAACAGCAATCATTAAATAAGTGACTACTACCACTTCACGCACAGCCTTAGTAAATGTTATTCAGGATAAGACATACCAACAAAATTTGTGTCTATTTCCTTTGACGACACCTAGATAATCATTCAAGACTAATTTCCCAACTTAAATTCTACCTAGATTTGATTCGAGAAGACCAGAACACAAATTCAAGCTAAAGACGTTACAACGCAAGGATCTATTAGCATCTCCGGTTAACTGAAATGTCTTCCTAAGTGCAAATCCTTCATTTTTAAGAAGCATCCAGACATTAGGGAAAGTGTCATGTTATGTTAGACATCATTAAATCTAAGCTAATATTATCAGCATGATTATTATATAAGCTGGTCGTATGTTATTAGAAATTCTACAAGAGAGTTTATCTCCATGTCCGGTATTCGAGTTTAGGTAACAAAAAAATCATTGAATTTCTTTGATTACACTATGAGTAGACGAATCGGATTCTTGATCCGGTTAAAATTATATCACTATTTTCTGATGATACCCGGAGCTAGCGAAAATATATATTTCATGGATGTTATATATATATATATATATATATATATATATATATATATATATATATGATCGAAATAAAAGTATAAAATTTAGTATTACAAGACATTAAAAAAGAAAAAAAAACAACAAGGGGGAAGCAACCTGTTTCGCTCCCGCTCTTCAGGCTTCAACGGGAGATTTAAAATTAATACAGAAAAATGTACAATAAAAGGGAATTAGGAATAAAAGGAACCCTAACCCTAACCCAATTCCTTTTATTGTACATTTTTTATTTCATTAGTGTATAGTGTATCTATAGGGCTGTGCACTCGTAAATTGATAAAAAGAATGCATTAACAGATATGGATCAAAATTGCATCTGCATTTGCAGGGGAAAACCAGCATCTGTTCCAGTGTGTTTAACTCTCGGCCACGACGCAATGTTCTATTTTCCCTTTTTAAGGAAATCATGACTTTTTTCCCGCAAATTATTTTCTCGAAAGCTTCATATCTACTGTTTCTATTTTCGAAACAGAAACAAAGCAATTTCTAAATAATTACTGGATTCATTTTCAATCTAATTTTTTATTGCTTCAAACGTTATTATAGTTGATACATAATGTCTGAAATAGATGTCCCGATTTCGAGAAAATAATTTCGATATATATGCGCTAAAAAGTCCATAATATCTTGGATTTCTGCGGTTTCAAAGACCTTAACTGAAAAACACAATCCATTGTAACTATCAGATTTTACTTCCTTTATTCTATTTTATGCTCTCAAAGAACTAATACACCTTGTTAAATAATGCTTTAATGTTTTAATAAGCAACCTTCGAAAATACAATAAAAATAACTTACATTATTTTTTTCATTGTCGTTACCATATTTTTCATTGTTCATACATTTTGTATTTTCATATGGGTTTCTAATAATCAGATAGACTAAAAGATTTAATATTTCCTATTTTGAGTTTATGTATCTATATATAGAGGGTCTGATCAAAACGTATCAGGATTGTTGCTATAGTAACGCAGCTAAAGTACAGAGTGAAGCTGCTTGGCAAAGAGTGACCTGTCGTATTTGTACTTATAACGTACTGGCTTCCGCTGTTTATAGCAATGCTTGGATGGAATGTGTAGAGTGTGGACATCTCATAGAAGTTCCTTCAGTAAATATGGCAGAATAAATTGAGTAGAGTATCTACATCAAATTTTGACAAAAGTTCGGTGATACCTAAACATGGGACCAAGGTAAGTGGTAGAACAAACATGCGGAGGAGTGTATGTGCTGGACATGAGTTTTCGAGTAGTTCAGACGTTTCCAAAATGTCCGACAAAATTTCAACAGTAACACACATTCTAGCCGAATAAAAACATCACAGATGTACGTGCAGCTTCACGGAGAGAATATCAAATCACCGGCCGTGGTTGTGAACATCAGTTTCGGTCCAGTTCAGGCCATTCTCACTGAAGATTTGGTTGTGAAACGTGTCTCTAACAAGTTTGCGCGAAAACATGTTGTGACGCAGCTGCTTGCTATCCCAAGAGAGGAGTTCCAGAAATACTTCCGTCAATTGAAAAGACTTTGAATTAAATGTGTGGCCTCAAAAGACAGTTACTCCGAAGGAGAATAACGTCTGAATTGATCTGTTGTATTTTTTATTCTTTTTATAGAACATAGTACAGAATATGGCTTCTTCAAATCCTGCTAACCAATCATAGATACTGAAGTAAGTCTATCTTTTAAAGATCAAAGGCTCGCTGACAACTATCCGTCCACTTGAATCTAGCATTCTTACGAGTTAACTCAATCAATGGGTCTGCCAGTTCAGAATATCTCGATACTTTTTTGCCAGACTTCGTATATTGAATGATGAGTACACACACAGCCACACACACACACACACACACACACACACACACATATATATATATATGCATGTGTGTGTGTGCGTGTCAATCAATGAAGTCAATTAAACCTAATTTTGCTATGCAGAGATAAAGAAAATTATTTTAATAAAAGAAAATGAGTTCAACTTTTGAATATCTTTCCCAAAAGAGAGAGCTAAAAATTATTCACATAATCGATATCTAACTTAACTCTAGATAAAAGATCTGTTTAAAGAGTTATATATTTTCCACACCAGACATTTTTAACATGCAATGGCTGAGATGAAAAATATTAATTCTTGGAAGCATTGGAGTAATAAATTCTCTTAATTCGAGAAATATTTTACAAAATATTGTTAGGTTTTGCATAAATGTAAAAATTGACAGAATCTTTGATGCACTGTAAAAATGACAAGCGATGTTTCTCCCGGTATTTGATCAAAAATTGATTTCCAAGAATATTTCGGATTTACGATGAACGCACGTCAATTCTGACTGACAGTTCGCCTCAAGTTTTTATTTATTTATTGTTTACGTCTGGATACTAAACTATGTGCAAATATGAAAAACTTGTAGAGATCTGTTACAAATTCATGACGGTCGTCTTCGAGTAAAGAATCCAGAGGTTGGCAGTGAATATTTCGGAGACAGTAGGAAAGCGTAGTGCAGGTTCGCAGTGAATATCGCAGCAAAGTAGCAGAGCGTAGTTCTTCCGTTTGTCATCTTCGTCTCCTAATTTGGCACTGGTCATTCCGGTAGGGTAAAACAAAGATGTCCGCCTTTATACACGACGGATAGTTTTTTGCGGCTTCTGATTGGTCAACCTTCTATTGGTAGACTATAAAGGGAATTAAAGCATTTTGACTAACTCACTAGTTATATATACACAAAAAATTGTAACAAGATCTATGACTAGAGAGATTTCGCTTGAAAGCACGAAATTGGATTCGTCTGACCCTATGTCCTTCATGGCCAAGTAGTAAGGCTGACCATGCTAAACAGTGGCTCCCTCTGCCCTGGGGACACAAGTTCTCTTCCTGCCGAATGGTGCAAAGATTTTCTTTCATAAAATTTTTCGAACATTCCAACCGGTAGGTGAAAATAAATAAATACACGGTTTAATAAATAAACGGAGGACCTAGTTAAATACGAGTATCCATGCATGCAAAGCGATTTAGAGAATTACAGAGATTTTTTTTTTTAATGGATTTGATAAATATGTGATTTTGTCATCAAATGATTCATTAAGATCCTAATAGTCGGGGTGAGACACAATATCTTTTTAATCATGATTTCGGTCAGTTACTTACGCAATACTTCAACTTCACAAAAGTGAAGACTTGCAAATCCATTGTGGATGATCTTAACTGACGTCCCAGGCAAAGCATTTGTACACATTATATCGATAACAGAGGGCGCCGTCGGTGTTATAAACGTATTATTATTGCAAATTTCACCATCAACAAAAACAGAAATTCTTCCAAAATAAAATGCTGAAAATAGATGAAAAATCATTGAATAAAATGCTTGAGTAAACGTGAAAGGGAAAGTTTGATTTAAACTGGATGGCAGAAGCAAATGATATATGTAAATATAAACAAAATTGCGTGTAGCGTTGCAGCTCATGCCAGACCCAAAGTTCTTCTCAGAGTGCAGCTTCTTCCAATCAAACGTTTGTGGCTTAACCCTTGGGCCAAATCGTTAAGCACGAATTAATACCATGAGTATTTATAGCAGTAAACATATTTTCTCAGGTTGTTATCTACTGCTGTAGACGAGCGAATCGAGATGAGGTTTGTGTGAACAGCTTAACAGGCATCTTCCCATTCACCTCGTTCTCCGTGAGCCCAATCTGTCTATCTGCTTTTTTGCGGGCAGTGGCCACTTTTATATAGAAAGCATTATTCTTTATCATGCCAAAAAAATGTAATTTATCTTTATTCAGTGACGTCTTATGTGTCGGAGCCGCTTGCCATGTACTTATGAAGACCATTTCACCCAGTGGATAACCATCGGGAGACAATAAATATCCGAATCCATTTTTGTGAAAGGTCAGCTGTTTTTCATTTAACAAGACACTGATATCGCTACACCCACTACCTTCTTAAAGTAAAAATATTGTTTAATATTTTTCTTGTTCTCCTCTCGGCCCTCAACAATATACACAAAATAATGAAAATAAACCAAATGAACAATTTCAACAATACGGTAAATAAAATAAAGAATGCTAATTTCATTGAGTGTCCCCTGAAAAAGTAAGTGTTCGTTTGTTCACAGAAACTATTTACAAAAGTAAAAACTAATTTGCATCCATTTGCTGATATCGAGATCAGGATTTTTTTTCGAGGCGTAAATCGAGGAAAGATTATCTTTTTTTCGTTTTCTAATATGCATGTTTTAAAAGTGTCCATCTACTGTCTCCATAGTTTTTGTTTTTATCTCCTCTTCGTACACTGTTGAGGAGCAATTCGACTGTGTCGTTATTCACAACTTTCAGGTTTTTTTCTAAAAGACACCAGTATTTCAGATCAGTTTCGCAGTGCCCATTCAATTTCATTGAAGCCCTCCTTGATTTCCATGACTGACCCATTGCATTGCAAACATTGAAAATTAAGCATGTTATTTCGAGATATCAATATTCTCATCAGACAGACTTTGTCTTATTTTCTTTTTCTCTCCTCTTTTCATTCTTAAACAAAAAACAACTTTCCTTCCAAATCTACCACTTCTCTCTCGTCATTATATGGTTGGTTTTGGGACTCATAGTCGAAAAAATACAAAAATACTTTTAGCTACCCTAATTTCTTCACAAATGCATAAATTATCAGAATCCTTACTAATGACTTTAATATTTTTCAGTTTAGCTCTCTCTGTATCACTGCTCTCTCCAACAGAGATGCACCGCATTTTTCCTCATTGATTTCACACACCCTCCGATACCTATACATTATATTGGGCGGTGGATCTGCTATCATGCCATCCTCTGAGTCACTCATACGTGACGTTTAGGTGACTTTTCGCATCGGACTATTTCTCTCATCAAGAATGTTTTATTCATCGATCTTTGTACTGCGAAGATAGCGTGTACATTCGTAGCTACACCCGTAAACTGATCTTTGATTCTATATAAGACTCACCCTGTTCTTTCTATAATTATATGATATGGCTTCCACCTTTTATCTAATTTATGCTTTCTCCAGTGGTTCTTAAAGTGTACTGGTTTCAAAGCTAATTTCGTTAGTCTTATTTTCCGCATATTCTTATTGATTTTTCTTAACTTTAAATACGTTCTTCCTCATTCTAGTGAAAGAGTTATACTGTTCTTGAAAAGCTATCTGGGAATGCTCATCTCGATAGTAAGGTCGTCTAGGTTGTAAATTATTATCCGCGGGTAACTTTACATCTCTATTGTATATTAGTTTAAAGGGCGAAAACTTTGTTGTCTCGTTTTCGTTGAATCTGATCGCTGCTAGTGTTTGATCGAAATGCACATCCCAAAATCGTTCATTATTGGCTACTCTTTTTGCTAATATGTCGTGCATCATTCGATGAAGTCTCTCCGCTCTACCGTTTAGTTTGAGGATCGTAAAACGGCGTAGTAACATCATCAATCCCCAACTTTTCAAGTGTTTCTTTCATAATGCGATTTACATTTTCAGTTGCCGTTATCTAAAATTATCTGCAAAGGAGCAGCGAAACGAGGAAAAATTTTATCTATCAATAAATGAGCGATGACTTTTTTTATTAGGAACGACAAATGCCTCAAGCCATCCGCTATATAAATCGATAAAACTATATACTGATTACCTGATAATGAGCAAATGTAATGTCTTGATACATCAACTGCAATCTTAGCAAAAGGGTGTCGAAGCAGGTCAGTTTCCTTTATTTTAGGATTAACTTTTTGAAGATTTCTAAACTGGCATAAAAAATAAGTAACAATGTGAATGAGAGTGTCTTTATACATACCAGATCAAAAGTATTTGCGCTTCATAGCGCTTACACTCTTTTCTATTGCTATATCTAATTTCATCATGGTACTGTCGTATAATATTCATACGAAGGTGATTTTGAACATGTAACCATTAACTAGGAGCTTATACTTAACATCAGGAAGATTTCTGGGACACATAATGAAAAAGGAGTGCTTGGAGAATCTGATAGTCACAGGTCGAATAGAGGGAAAGAAAGACAAGGGAAAGCAATGCATGACTTACCTAGCGGGCTTAAGCAAGTGTGTGACAGACCGTGGCCTCGAGGAAGTAGCAAAGGGACAAAACTTATTGAGAGTTACAAGGGATAGGGGGAAGTGGAGAGCTATGATCGCTTAAATCCGGAAGGAAAAGAAAGAACCATACAGTAGATTCTTAATGATAAATAGTAAAGCATATCGTCCAACTGACCATACTTATTCCTTTCCATAGCAATCACATCACATGTTTTAATACGATTAATGTCCTTATCTGCATTTTGATCGTAACTAATATTTACACCTTTTATTTGTGGTTTCATTTCATTTTTAACTGAATTTGATTCATCTGTATAGAGATTATATGGCTTATTCAGATCCGGGTATGCGAGCATAGATACTGAAGTAAGTTTATCATTTAAAAGATCGAAGTCTTGCTGAAAACTATCCGTTCACTTGCCTCTGACATTCTTTCGAGTTAACTCATTTTAGGGTGTCTAGAAGAACAGAAAAATTCGGACTAAAATGTCTGTAACCAGAACACATTCCAATAAATCCACAAACCTATTCAACTGTCTTGGGGGAAGTCTATTTCATCCTTATCACGCTTAATGCCTTCTCTACTTATGGTAATGTCTAATTAATGCATTTCTTTCATAAAAAATCTCATTTCGCTAGTTTAAATTAAGTTTATGCTTTTAGAGCTCGTTAAATACATTGTGTATTGGTTTTAAATGATCCTATTTTTTCACAGACAAAATTAAAATAAAATCAATAAACACGGCTAAACAACAGACATTAATTCCTGTAAAATACTAGGCCCGTTTTTTTAGTCTAAAATGCATTCATTTAAAATGAAATGTCTCCTGTAGACTAAAAAGCTGTTTTTGTTTTATCTCTTTCATGTATTTCCACTTGCTAGTAACCAGACTTCAAATCTAATTTAGAAAAATACTTAGTGACGCCTAAATTTGCTAATATATCTTCACGAACGGGTAGGGGGTAGGGGGTATGCATTAGTCAGAGTTAACGAACGATAGCCAAGGCCAAACATTTTTCTGTCATCTTAGCATCCAACATCACATCGATGATCTTATCTACTTGAACTCAGAGTTTCAAAAGAGTACGATTGGGGTTCATCCTGGTTGTCAGTATCGATTCTCATTTTCAGCGTATCAGTTTTCCCGAGGTCTCTATCTGTAGTTGCAGATAAATCCTTAATTTTTTCTAATAACTTTTGGATGGGGGTCATAAATTTACTGTATCCTACAACATTACTGATACCTGTATTATTACTATCAATACTGCTACAACGGGACATATTATTTAAGTTTACAGCTGGAGAAACCCTACACATTTTTGTCGAAGCCTAACGGATTGATTCATATTGTTAATAATAACAATTAGTATATTCCAATAGTTATTCCTCCTTAATAACTCATTCGTAACTGAAATATCTGGAAAATTACTTATGTATCCCGAATCTATTTGCTTTACGTAATGTGGTTTTACTTTCTCTAATTTATTCCTAATTCTAATTAAACATAGAGTGGCTGACCCAGTTTTTAACGTGGTATTGAAAATCATCCGAATTTTATTTGCTAAAAGGAAATCCTCCTTTAAAGACCTGAATGTAATGCTCCTGCATCGTAGTAAATATTTGCGTCATTTTCATGCAACCAATGAAGACTTAGAACAATATTTGTGTGTTTAAATTAAGAATTACATACAATACGCCTTTGGCTGCTAGTCAACCGATTCGAAAATTTATAATCGCATACCCGTCGACCTTCAAGTACGTTCCGGTAGCTTTTTGCAGATTTATTTTTCTGTCCTCAAGAGGAGGTTTATTCTTCATAGTCAAACACCATCTTATGTATAATCGAAGTGTCTTCTCCTCTATCTAACTCTATACATTACGTCATTAGTGACAGTACTAACATTTCTCATATCACTTATTTTTAACGTCGACAATCCTTCTGTCCATCTGTAACCTTCTTAAAAACGGATCAGACATAGTTTCCATGAACACTATAATGTAGGTACCCTTTACTTCTACATCTCCAACAGGTGATCCTAGCATGTTCCGAAACTATTCGACCAGGCGGATCTGTTGTGCCGCATACTCTAATCACTATTTCTATTTATCGCCTATACATTAGGCCTCTGCCTGTTGTGATCACACCCCATCGCCTCCTCGAAGCTTCTACACCTGACATGGGATAGTATCGAAGTTTCCAACATCGCTATCCCAGTAGCTTCTTCTAGAGTTGTCCGGCCCTACTTAATTTTCTTAGTTCGCACCTACATGCTCTGCAAACCTCTCATATACATATACTCATTGACTGTTCTCTATTTCCGCAACCCCTAAGAGGTTTAACGATAAAGGCCTTGTTAAAGAGGTGATACCATAGATTTATATTCTTCTATACTTTCCGGCCTCTAATTGTCTTGTAGTCGCTGTAACCCTTCTGCGGGATCTACGGCTCACGCATAGCATGAGTCCATCAATAATCTCAACTCGCCCCATGTTATCTCATGGACATTTCCCCCAACAGATCCGTCGCCTTCGCAATACATAACTGGTACGCCACGAGGGGTTTTCTTCCCTCCGGTATTTCAGGAGCCAAAAAATATTTTCATAAACTATCCTCCACTCTTGATATATTTTCTCTGCCCATCGAATCTTGTAATATTTGAGAAAAAGATGGCAAGTAATTGATCATTTAGAAGGCCCAAAATGAACATCTTAATTTCATTCGTTACATTCGCATAAATTTGTGGTCCATGACGAAAAGATGAGTGAAAAACCACACCAAATCAAATCAGGTACTTACTAGCATTTTTCCTTTTCCACAGGTGCCTCCTTTGGGAATTTTTCCTTTTTCCTCTCGGTCGTGTCTTCTCACAGATGGTGGTCGACAAACTGATGACTGACGTTGGTCACGACACCCCAAATAATTCAGCCCTGCATAGCATTGCAGCTCAGACCCGTCACCATGTTCGTTCTCAGGGTTCAACTTCTTTCAGTCAAATGAGTGTTGCTTAAAAATAACCCTTCCGTAAGATCGTTACCCACGAATTAATAGTAGGGGAGGGGTGTACAATTTAACAGAAATCTTCCCTTCCACTTCGTTTTTCGTCGGCACTCTTCGTCTATCTGCCTTTCTCGCGGGCAATGGGTACTTTCTTATAGAGAACGTTGTTCTTTGTCTTGTCAACTTTGTCCGAGCCGCTTAATCCAGCAGATAACCATCGCGAAAATAAATATCCGAATCCATTTTTATGAATGGTCAGCTTTTCATTTAACAAGATATCAACTGATACTGATATGTCTACATATGTAAAACGTTAATTTACATGTATAAAATCGACACGTTAAGATATTTATTTCAAATATATAAGTGCGATCGTATAGATACTTACTTCTCATGGAATTCATATTATATATTCTTATTTGAGAGATGTTGTATTTTTTCCCAAGGTCCACTTCCCAGAAAGGATTCATCTCTTTTTGAGTTTGCATACACGAAAATCTTTCCACTTGTTGATTAATGTTGCCATCGACTGCTAAATTGGCCGAAAATAGAATATCACCCGTCTGACAGGTTCCATTTTTAAAAATTAAGCCTTTATTCTGGGTCGAACTCTGCTTTGCTTTTTTATTTAAAGCAACATTTTCTGAAAAAGAATAAAATGAGAACTGTTTGAGTCTTTTTCAAGTTTTTCAGAAACACAGAAACATTATCATCATGTTTTCTTTTTTTTAATCTATGTAAATTAACATTGCCATGAGTGTCTTCTGGAAAAATAATAACAGAATGGTTTCTTGGCCCTGGTTCACCATGAGGAAAGGAAAAAAGATGGATTCATGCCTTTACAAAGAACAGGACAGTTAAGCTTAAATATAAATCCGAAGGCATCAATAAAATAATATATCTAATGACAGGGAGAAAATTGAACATCAGATATGTAAAAAAATAGAAAACCCAACACCATATTGAAAATGTTTGATCGACTCAATAAAGAAGGTAATGCGAAAATGGCTCATCGGAACTGGAATAGTGTTGACGCGCATATCTACATTGAGAAACTGATCTTTACATGGACTATACACGGTAAAAAGAGAAAAATCATGGACTTTAGAAACAAGAGGCAAAATGAAGTTATTTGTAAATTAAACCACGGCATAGTAATATAATAAACCTGTGGTAAGAAAAACAGAATATAAGTAAATAATTACATACAAGTACGTTAAACTTAAAAATACATAGAACAAAAAATAACAACTGTGGTATCTGTAAAGACAATGAAAATGCCTTGAAAATTGAATGGAGCAATTAAACTTTCAGAGTTCAAAAATATACATAACAAAATAACAACAAAATTCACTGAGAACTGTTCAAATAACTTGAACCACACAAAAAATTTGAACAAGTGAAAAGTAAAGCTTTTTGTGGAGGATTCTGTTGGACTTTGAAATTTAAACAAATTCGAACCATCGAATCTGGACAAGAAAATCAAATATAATTATAAAGAAAGGGACATTTGAATGTTTCTTTCCTTACGCCTATAACAATCAACAGAGTGAAAAAAGAAGGCAAAATTAAATACATTGAATTTGTTAAAAACAAACCAGAAATATTGAATCTGAAGAAGATAATTGAACCGAGAATTAGAAATATAGAAAACTTACAAAATGTATGGAAGTTTTGAAGCCATTCAAACAAGTGCGTGAAGAAGTTGTTGGAATTTTACTATCACTTGATGACTAGCAAAACATCAATTTGATTAAATGTCTTTTCAAATTACATCCTAATTGTTTCCAGCTGCCTAAAATGAAGTACATTTTAGCTCATTGGTTATAAAACAGAAACCCGCATAAATTCTTTGACAAAATTATTCCGATTAAAAGACAAAGACAAGAAAATATCGTAACGAAGAAGAGAAGAAATTTCAAACATTTCTGTCTGGCAAAAGATGCATCAATGGACGAGAGTTAAATGTTGTTTGACCCATGAGATGGTTCAAAAAGTGTAGGAATATAATATAGATATTTGCTATGATTACATCAATATGCCAGAGACTGAAATAGAGATGGAAAAGAAAAACAACGGCTGAAATGTGGTAAATATGGCAATGAAGACGAGGATAACAATCCGAATAATGTAAATAATGCAATTTATCATAATACCTCATCCCAGTTGCTCAGTGAAATGAGACTGACCACAAATTTAATTTAAAATGCTACTTTAATTAAAAGAGAAACGAATTTGCTAAGAAAAAATATTTAGACTTTTGATTTATTTGCTAGATTATCCACAGTAAATTTGTGTCCAGGTTCTTACAAAATTTTATCTTTCTTCATAGATTTTCTATTAACACAAAACGGGATATTCAATAACAAATGAATAACCCTGATATAAGATAAACCCGGATGTAAGAGAGATTTTCTGTGGTCCCAAATTAGAGCCTGTGTTAATGTATATAAAATAGACCAAACCCGGATATAAGAGAAACCCGAATATAAGAGAAACCCGGATATAAGAGACTTCTTCTCCGTTACCGGGAACTCTCTTATATCCAGGTTACACTGTATATATATATATATATATATATATATATATATATATATTAAATTTAAAATTTTCGATATGTCTCTTTAGTTTATGTGCATTTGTAGTTGCATCAACGTAATAATAGAAGTCCGAAAGGACGAAACACGGCCCACGAAAAGCTTTTTCAATTCTTCATCTTTCTTTCTCCTAATATATAAGTAAGACTTTGTGGGCCGAAATACTATTCTAATGGGGTAATTTTGAATTTATTTTCTATGTAATACATATATATATATATATATATATATATATATATATATATATATATATATATATATATATATATATATAATTAAAGAATATGAAGCACTTAAAACCCATAGGTAATAATTTTTTATTTCATAGGAGCTCTAAAAACAGCTGTCAATCTTCTAGACTTGCAAACAAATGAAATTGAAAAAATACAAAAATCGACTTTCTGTATCTGCTTATTTATTTATTTATTTATTTATTGCTTCGTACTTAATATGTAATTACTTTGTCAAATCTTTTTCATACCAAAGTTGACTTCTTGACAATTGTGACCTCTCCATCCATTTTCACATCCCAGTGGGCAAACTCCGGTCAACACGTCACATTCAGCATTATTTGCACAATGGCATTGCATATCACAATCTATTCCGAACCATAATGGCATGCATCCTGGAAGAAAAGCCAATAAAAGAAAAATTCCATATGAAAAATATATCAACACTTAATGACATCTGTTTTAAGACATTCTTTATTTGATCTGACTGATGATTTAAAGTGAATTGACAACGTTTCTTCATTACACATCACTTGTTTCAGAGATCAATTCGCTCTAAAATCTTCTCTCTCGGATTATAGTAATCACCATGAACATTATATACCATCATTCTAACGTCAAAAAGATCAAATTTAACTGAGTATCAGTTGTACTATTCGATAAAAAAACTTGAAAAAGAAAAATATCCAAAACACGAACCACTCAAATGTATAAATACACGTGACGTCACCCCGATAATTGCATTTTCGCTAGATACACTGCCATTAAACTGAGCCTCGTGTCGACACTCATTTTCATAAATCTTGTTTGGTCCAAAATAAATGGTTATATTTTCTGAAAAACGAAACATAATCCTTGTTAGAAAATCAAGTCATAAGAAAAATAGATCAAACATGCCAAACGTATTGAAAATATGTTAGGTATGTTGTACAGTTATAATTAAAATGAAAGTGATTTGCCTAATTACAAATTTAAAGATATTGATTTTCTTTGATGTTATTAATAAGAATGCAATTCTTATCAAATTATTTCGCTAAAAAATAATGCATTACTACTATTATAGAATGTCTGGATAGGTAAAGTTTAACGCAAAAAAGAGAAAAAGAAAGAGAACCTTCCGATCTTTATCACAAATCTAAAACGCAAACCCACTAATACATTAGAAAACCAAATGTATTAACTTACAAGAAGAGAGTCGAAACACCCATCATCAGAAAGAAATGTTGACTGGCATAGGGCAAAAATTAGCAAGCCACTTTTGATTAATTAATACGTATACCTCAAATAGAGCTGAGTGTGAAATTTATTGAATTAATTGATAAAAAAGAGAAATATTTAGCAGGTGCCCCTAAAGATGTGATTAGTTACTATCGGAGAGTTTCAGCGGTTTGATTTAACGTACAAGACATAATGTTGTATGATTTTTCAGGTACTTCCAAGGATGTCGTACACGGCGATACTGATACTGTTTGACAAATATGTCATAAGTTTCGAACCTCTGCAACATAGTCGAAATTCTAAAGTTGAAACCACTGGGCCATGCGCTCACATAGCTTCAGTGCGTAACTTTGTTAAAATATAGTGACTGCCTATTTAATCATTATTGGTCAATTATAAGTTCTACTCGGGGAAAATGCGGGAATCAAATGGAGCATTTAGCAGATGTATTAAAATAAGTAAAATGATTAATCTAATATATTAGTTCAGCCTGTAAATGTAAATGCTTGAGATTTTCTTACGTCCTGTATGTATTCTTAGTATTTACGGTCCTTATATAATAGTGTGGAAAATCTAAGTCGGGTACAAGTTAGGTTACTTGATACGTCAGCGTAGAAAGAATTTGAAGCATTATGTTACGTTTTAGATTAATTGTGGTATTCAACTACATATATTATTGTTTGATCCATCCACCCTTATCACTTGTAGATATGAGGACACAGATGTACAACAGGAGTGGAAGATTCTGAGATAAACATTTTGCCATCTAACTTTAGAACGTCATTCTATCTCAGTTTTCTATTGTATAGACTGACAGTTGAAGATGACAAGTACAGGCTTAACTCTACTTTTGCAACTTACAGAAAGACAAACAAAAACGCCCAGATAATATATACACACGTGTTGGAGGTCTGGATAGAATTGGCTTTCTGACTATTATTTTGGATGCATCACTGTACTATTTAAATCAAAACATTCATTTTCATTCATCATTTTGTTACTTACCGCTTTTTTTTTAACTCTTCTAATATTTCCTAATTCTGTATCGCAAATATTTCCTACCAAATGAAGCCACTAGAATCTGTTGTTTTCGTAATGTTGTTCTAGAAAGACTGTAAAATGGTGTAAAACTTATAGCTCCTGAGTGTGGATCACTGGTGATTTGTCTGCGAAAAACGAATAGCTTACCTTACTTATTGCCATTAATTTTGATTAAATGATTAATTTAATGTAATTTTGAGAAAAAAAGAAAATCTTGCCTTTCCACCGACAATTCAGGCTCATGTAATTAATCCTGAAATTTTGATGAAAGATGATTCTGCACTTTTCATTTGAATAATATCTAAATTTTCGGAGATTATCATCTGAAAAATAAAAATAAACTGTAAGCATCTGAAAAACCGGACGTTTCACACTTTTTTGAAAGAACAGCAATGTAAACTAAAACTGTCATTAACGTTGTTTGACTAAAAAACGAACAGAGATGATTTTAATTTGACATTTTGACTGATCATCAGTTTTTCAATTTTTTTATTTGATTCTGTTATTTTTTTATGTTTTAATATAAATATATTCACAAAGTTTTAATCAATTTGAGTATAGATATATTTCAAGTAATTACTTGGATCAGACTATGTGGGACGACTTCACTCATTTTAGCTTTATTTCTCCAAAACTATTAACTTTTTCTCATTAATTATAAGAAAAAAATAGAATGACATTGATAAAAATATAGAACGGAGGTGATAAAAGTTACTAGGTAAAATTTACAGACATGCACGGACTTGTTCGGTGTGTCATTGATGCTTTTATCGTAATGACTTCTACACTTTTAAGTGTATATGTTTATTGCACTAATTACCTTGCACGATATATTGCCTTGTGTATGCATCTTATTATCTTATGCATAGATTATATTGTCTTGTGTATGTATTTATTACATTGACTCGTGTATAAATATATATTGCTCATTTATTGTTACTTCCATTAATAAATAGAGAAAATATCTTGTAATTTCATTGTATAAAACTGGCTTTGACATTCAGGCGAACAATACCCACTTGTTTAAAAACCTGACATGATAAATAGTAAACAGTTTTCTAAAAGTTTCACTAATAGAAATAGTGTATAAAAGAACAGAAAGTTTGCCTAAGATGTCCGAAAAATCTATTAGAAATATATTTAGTTTATACTCCACTAGTAAAAACTAAATGGATCTTTCTATTAATTGTTTAATTCAATCTTGCCAACTACACTGTTGACGACTTCTTGATCATTCTGACATTAACACATTTATTATTCCATCATATTTCGTCTTTCCTTTTTTATGAATACTTTTGTAAGGAAAATTTAAACTCTATATGCCGTTCTTCAGTGTGTTCGCCGAGTTTAAAACTAAGCGTTAATTCTTACAGTCTATCAGAATCGTTATTTACAATATTTATAAGCGGACTATTTTCCTGATCATAGTTGTTTTAACACAATGCTTCGTCCGTTGTGGACTTCGGGCTTCATCAGGTGTATATCGATCTGTGTAAGTGATAGGTAATTTCAAAATGAACCCTGTATTAAATTTATGGATATAGATTGTTTCACTTTTATGTCTAAGGATAACTCATCTATTTCTTATTTAGTACTGCTCATTTATTGCTCGCCCAGCTTCTACCGAGTAGAAATACAAACTGCCCGGAATTTCTTACCATAATCACGAACCAACCCTTTTAGTCAAGGCTATAGTCCCGTTGGACGATTCTATGTGGAGAATTTGGAGCCATAAACATAACCTATCTGCATTTGCTGCTTTCCATACTTGATTACACTCACGAAAGCTGCTCTTTTGTTATAACTGCTGCTGCTATTGTGGAGTTGCTGTGATTTGTCTTTCTTTATTAGCGGTTCCTATATTGAATTTATTTCTGTGTCAAGTCTACTATGGAAGTTCTCTGGACTAGTATATGCGCTGATTTAAAAAAAATCTAACTATCCAGTGTTTTTCCTTGTCCAGTATTCTCACTTTATTTCACAAGAGTTGATGACTACCGTTTCTGTACACAGAGGATCAGTGAAGACAGATTTCATTGTCTTTCTACTCATTTTAACTTTTCCTACACCTTTACTTTTGGTGGTCGGTTTGTTTCACCTTTATACTCTTTGCCACAACTGGAATGGAGGACACGCAGTTCTTGGTCGTTTCTTCCCTCGTATTATGTTTCATTCGGTTGAAATTTCTCCGTAGAGTGGGGCAGCTCCTGAATATTGTTCTGATTCTGTATGAACCACAACTTCGTGACGTAAGATAGGCAAACCGTGTCAATGTTCTGGTCCTTCTTATATGACCCTTCTGTTTTCCCATGCAGACACTTGTGTTAAGTTTACAAGGTAGTTGTTATTCTGAAGAGTACGCTTAATGTTTATGTTTATCATTTCCTTTTCGTGTGTGTCTTGGTCTCCACGTGATATTTGCACGGTGTTGTGAGCATCGGTCGATCCCTTTCGTTACGTTTTATGGATGGAGGAAATTGAACCTGAGGCATTTCTTGGTAAACGTTGGCTTGTGATATACGGCCATCTTGAACTCATTCTCTTCTGTGCGAGCTATTAGTACATCCAGGAGGGCTAGCTGATTATTTTTTTCTATTGTGAACTTCATCAAAGGTCTTATTGAGTTCACATTGTTCAGAAGTATTTGTACTAGTTTCTGTTGGGGCTAAATTATGAAGGTATTATCTACGTATATCAGCCATAAATTTGGCTTCAAAGTTTTCTATGAATATGATCATCAGCATTGGTAAAGCCATCTTTCTGTTGGTATTTCAAACTTCATATTAATCAAACTTCAGTTGCAAGAACTTGTATGTAAACAGAACTGCCAAGTTTCCATCAGATTATCTAATAGAATGTTATTGCGCTCTCAAATGGAGAGGTTTGATTTAATATTGGTTAGTTGATACTTTAGCGTAGACATAATTTTAAGTATTATGTTACATTTTAGTTGCAATTCAGATTAATTGTGGAATTAAACAACAATATATTATTGCTCGACCCATTGACTCTTATTGCCTGTAGATATGAGGACATAGTGTACTGGAAGATTTCTGGGACAAACAACCCTACACGCAAGCCACCAGTCTGCCACTGGGTAGCTAGCCACTAGCGTTTACCATTTGTCTCGGCTATGTTACCTCTGGAGGACCGCTAGAGCCTACCGGTAGCCCGCCGGTGGCCTACTGGCGTTGCCATCGGCGACCCAATAGCGGCTTGTGTGTAGGGAATTCACGATCTAACTTTGAAACGGCGTTCGATTCCAGTTTTCTATTGTATAGACTGTCAGTTAAAGCAGTCAAGTAGATCCTTAACTCTAAAATTTCGACTTACAGATAAACAATCGAAAATGTCAAGATAACATATACACACGTGTTGGAGGTCTGGATAGGAAAGGCGTTCTGATTATCATTTTTTTTAGAAAAGCTCACTTGTCTCTTTCCAACTAAATTGGATGCATTCGTGTACTGTATAAGCCGAAACATTCATTTGGTTCATCATTTCTTTTCTTTACTGCTTTTGAAATCCTTTTACTATTTGTTAATTCTGTATCACTGTATCACAAACATCTTCTACTAATTGGAATCTCCTGGATCGTTTGGGTGCCCTTGCCACAGCAAACACTCTGAAATGCCGCAGAACTTCTAGCAACTGAATGTGAATCACTTGCGACCGCTTCTTTTGTCTGCGTATAAGTCTCTTATTAGCATCAGAGAAAATTAAAATGCTGGAGTAAATCTCCGTTGATTTTATACGTGATATCAAATGCAGCAAAGTCACATTCTTCAGTGATCAAGTTAACGTAACTTTTAAGTATAAAAAATCTTACATTTACGTGTGCCGATAGTTTCCAGATAATTCTTCAGACTTATGTATTCAGTTCTAAAGGGGGATGCATCGTAAGCAACTGAAAAATAAAAAAGAAGTCAAAATAAGAATATTAAACGTTTTGCACTTTACTGAAAGTGAACGCTGAAGACTAACACTTTTCATAAATCTGATCGGCTAAAAGATCCGATTTTTTTCTTTTTGGAAGCCATAATGATCATCGATTTTTAAATCTATGTTCTTTGTTTTTATATTATTTTTAGGATATTTCTTATAAAGATATTAATTCAGTTTCTCATTAAATTGAAGTATATTTTTTTTACTAAATTCCCTGTATCAGTCTATTTGAAATGACTTCACACACAGTAGCTTACAAAACTTATGGAAATCATCAGCACACACACATTCAGACGTATGGTCAAATCTCTCTCACACTTAACATCGGTTTAAGACGATCATTTCCGTGGTTGTTCACTATAGCACAGGTGAAGTTTCTATCCTCGGAGCTGACTTTTTAGCCCACTACAAGCTTGCCGTGAACATGTCTAACCACAACCTAATCGACCTAACGACGCAACTAATACACACAGGCATGATTTCCACATATACGTCCACTAAGATTACACCGTACTCCCAGAAAATAACCCGCTACAGCACGTCTTTGCTGACACCTTTTACTTATACGGAGTCCGTCAAGCACGACACTGTACATAGGATTCCAAAATCCGGTCCACCTGTTTTTTCATCCCCTCGCAGATAAATACAAACTAGCGAAGGCTGAATTTCAGCACATGTTAGACCTCGGCATCGTACGACCGTCATCCTGTCCTTTCGCTTCCCCACTCCATATGGTATCTAAGACACAATGTGGGCGTGGAGACCCTGTGAAGATTTTCGACGTCTTACCGCAGAGACTGTGCCGGATAAATACCCGGTACTAAATCTAGCAGATTTTGCAGTAACGCTTCAAGGTGTTCAGATATTTACGAAGCTGGATCTACGGAAAGCATTTTACCAAATTCCGGTAGCTATGGAAGACATTCATAAAACTGCAATAACAACACCTTTCGGTTTATACGAGTTTTTGCGAATGCCGTTCGGACTACGGAACGCCGCGCAATCTTTCCAGCGACTAATAGATGAAGCCCTTCGCGGATTGCCACATTCGTTTGCCTACATCGACGTCCTGCTAGCTAGCAATGACGAACGAACACATAGATCATGTAACTCAAGTTTTCGATTAACTCAACCATTTTGGTCTTAAGATTAACCCTGATAAATGTGTATTCGCAGTACCCAGGCTAGCTTTTCTCGGACATGTGCTAGAGGGTACTGGCATTTCACCCGTCGCCGATAAAATAAAAGCAGTGCAAGATTTTCGACAGATTTGCAGATTCTTAGGACTAATCACTTATTATCGTCAGTTCATCCCTAAATGTTCACACATACTGGCACCCCTGACAAATCAACTCCGTAACCAGGGGAAACGTAACGCCAAAATTACACTCAACGGTAAAACTCTCACTGCATTCAGCCAATCTGAGAATGCATTAGCGAAATTTAACAAACTCACTTACCCTCAAGAAGATGATACCACACATCTAACTCTTACGATCAGTGTTTCTTCAGAAGCAATTGGAGCTGTATTACATCAGCATACAGGCGAGGTGATTAAGCCACATTCATTTTTCTCTGTAAAACTTACTCCTGCCCCACAAAAATACCGCACTTTTTCACGTGAGCTACTAGCTATTTATACGGCTATCAAACACTTTCGTTATCTTTTGGAAGAACGCAATTTTACCGTTTTTACGGATCACAAACCTCTTATTTACGCTTTACATGCTAAAAGCAACAAAAATAACCCTCGTGATTACCGACAGCCGGACTATATTTCCCAATTCACGACGGATATTCAATACATACAAGGGAACCATAATACTGTTGCTGATACCCTCTCGTGTGTGACTATTATTAATATGTGTGACGTCCCCTGCCGCTGCCCGTTCCTCGTTCGTTCGGGTGTCCTCGCTCCAAACGTGATGTCCGCCTGTCTGCGTCAGTCGTGCTATCCCGTCCTGCGAAGACCAACTGGCTTGGTATTGGTCGCGGCACCCAAATGTGACGTTCTAACCTTTTGGAGATTGGGATGGGAATCTGGTTAGATTCGATATTAGCCTCGTCGTTCCCAACTCACCTCCAACGTCTGGTTACCGAAGTAACTACTTTGATCTCCAATCTGCCTACCCACGTTGTGAATTGATCATAGGCAGATGAAATCAATCAGTCGTCGGGGCCGTAATGCAAGTCGAGTTCGAATAAGGGTAGTATCGCACAAATATATGTAAAAGAAAATAACATAACAACTCGAAAAGTTCAAAGGTATCAAAAAAAGGATAACAATATTTTATATCGGGTTGCTGGATACATAGGACTACGTCTTTCTCCCAAAACCGCTATATGGATTCGGGACACGTTGTTTTTGTTAGGCGAGTCTTAACATCTTAAGTTGTCTGTTCTTTAAGAAACTGGTTCTTGGTGTGTCTTCAGGCGAACTTCGTAAAACTTGTTTTGGTGGTATGAGTCTAAGTCGTTCTTCAAAAATAAATTGTTCTTGGTTAGAAGATGAGTTCGGAAATGCGTGAATCTTTCAAGTCAGCTAGCTGCGAGGCGGGACCCACTTCAACTGCGAACTGGAAACTCAGGAAAACTGAACTCAACTGATTTTAGCTCGCTGCGACTTTGCTTATATGGACGCTGACCAAAACAGGGGGGGGCTTTGTCGGGGTTTGAGGTTCCTTGATAATTCCAAATTCACAATCCCCTTCTATGTTTTCGGTCAGGAAAAATTTATTATTTCCATTTTTGGAAGTTTCCACCTTCTTTCGTTCCCATATGGGTATCTTACCATACCCTCAGAGGGCGTCAACGGTTTTCCTACTCCTTCGCAGTAACATCTCATACCTATCCCCTTAATGGGTGGTCGCAGGCCTTCCCCATTGTACCACATGATCACCTCCGTCTGGCTCTCGTTAACATTCAGCCAATGGGCGGCCAGCAATGTGGGTGTGACCAGACTAGCCTTGTTTTCAAAAAAAAATCTTGCTCGAAGAAAAAAAAATTATCTTTTCTTTTCCTTTTCCCTTTTCTTTCTTTCTTTCTCTTTTCTTTCGTGGTGTGGTCCCTTAATTGCAGCTCTTATCCTCAATGGCACCTGGTACCTATCAATGAGATTTTCGCCAATTATCAAGTGGGTGGTCATCTAGCGAAACGCAGCCAAATTTTCGTCCCGATAAGGTAGCCGTATTTGCATTCTTGGTGCCGGTTTCTGATAAAATAGTTTCGCTGTCATCGTCAAATTTCAACACAAAACAGACACCTTGTCTAACGATATCTTTCCATCGACAAAGACCTATTTTCTTGGTTGTTTTTTTCAGCTCGTGTGTGGTCAACGGACGACCTATTAAATTTTTATCTCTTTAGAATTCTGTGGAAGACCCAAATGGCATTCCCGTGACACAGTTAAATGTTTATCTATTTAGAATTCTGTCTCTGATGCCAGCTAGCCAATCTGGAATTTGTCAAATGGCCATAAAAATTTTCACCATTCTCCATTATCAAAATAACATCGCTAAATGCCCCTTTTGTGATGGCTACTCTTTATCATCTAAGTTTCAACTCTCGCCTCTCTTTTTCTTTCCCTTCTTTTCTTCCTTTTTCTTGCAGCCCTAAATGGTGCCTCATATGTATACCAAACAACCATTGAATTTCGACACACTAGTTGACGAACAAGAAAGGGAGGATACTCTGTCAGACCTTCATACAGATACATCATTACGGATTGAGCCACGTCCCGTGCTCTTCAACAGTAAGCAATTATTATATGACACCAGTACAGGTCACCCTCCACGACCTTTGGTTCCTGTTTCCATGAGATGACAAATATTAGACCACTTCCATTCACTATTGCATCCTGGGCGGCGGATTACAACAAAGTTAATCGGTGAACGTTTCGTCTGGTCTAAGATGAGTCCCGACATTAAACGCTGGACTCAGACTTGTGTCTGATGCCAGCAAACCAAGGTACACCGACATGTCAAATCACATTCTGGACACTTTGCAGAACCTGATGGTCGTTTTCAGCATCTTCATGCGGACTTGGTGGGTCCTCTACCAGAAATTCACAGCTATCAATACATCGTAACGATAATTGACAGATTCTACCACTGGCCAGTAGCTATACCTGTTCAGTCTACCACGGCAGAATCTGTTGCTAACGCAATATTGAAGGAATGGATTTCTATTTTCGGCTGCCCTTCGGTCATAACGACAGACCGCGGTCCACATTTCTAATGAACTTTATTCAAAGAGTTCCGGAACTTGCTTGAAGCTACTCACATCTCGACAACGGCATATCATCCTTGTGCAAACGGCCTTGTTGAGAGGTTCCATCGTAAACTTAAGGTTGCATTAATAAGTTCCGACACAGCCCAAACTTCGTTGGAGAAATTACCACTCGTAATGCTTTCCTTACGAACCTTAATAAAGGAAGATCTTCAATGCACTCCTGCTGATCTTGTTTTTTTGGTACATCGCTTACATTACCAGGTCAGTTTCTGGACAGAAACACTTCTATAGAACCAAGTTCTGCTTTTGTACAATACCTTCCACACAGAATGGCTGAACTGTAATTCACCCCTACTCGAGCACACTCTAAGGAGATTTATTTTACCAAATCTTTGCAAGACTGCGACTACATTTTCGTTCGACAAGATGCAGTAAAAAAACACCCGCTCACCCCTAATTACTCTGGACCTTTTAAAGTACTTTCACGTTAACCCAAGTACTTTACCATCCAGACATAAAATGGTCAGTCGACCATCTCTGTCGATCGTTTAAAACCAGCATATCTTGAACAAGCCGCAAAACAATTCAATCCGGATCGACAGCAACCAGCCTCATCAGCATCATCAACATCGTCAAACAAGAATCAACAGTCCACTTCACAAATAGAACCACTGTTTACCAAAACAGGTAGGAGGGTACATTGGCCTTCTAAGTATCGCTCCTACGTGACATATTGAAGAATTATGTTATAATACTCAAATCTATTATGGCGATTATCACCACACACACATACATCCTTACAAATTCAAATCTCCAACAGCATCCATTCATTGGACAGGAAGCAACGTTGCTATCTGAAGCGAGAATTTTAAAATCGCTATATTTTCACACAGTAAATTTTGTGTACATTTGGGAGAACCGTCTCCTAGAAGTCTCCCCAGAACTCATCCACTGATTGGTCATATCAACCAATCAGATTCTCTGCATGTGATTGTGATTCTCTGCACGTGAGAATGATTTTTCCCGCGCAGCACTCCTGATTCAATGACCACCTATATCAGCATAAGAAAAGAGGAGCCACATTAGTGAGCCTTCAGCTGCCACAGAAATCCACGACAGTTGAAGCTATGCGCCCATCTTCTCACACAACTCTCAAACTGCATATTCTATCACACTTACATATTTTCCTCTTGCACGGCAGAACTGTTTAAAACATTTATAACAGACTAATAACTCTTTCATTTTCTTTCAGAGAACTTTGATAGACTTTGATAGTCGAAGAGAGACAACTCTCGTCTTACTCTTTGCAGGCTTTTTCGTATACATTCTTTATTGTAAGCTTTGTTGAATACAATTTTTTTATTTATTGATACCTTTATGACCCAAAAATTGATGCACAGTAAATGAAAAACTGGTTACGGCCGCTGACACCTAATGTCATTGCCTTGCTGGGAAACTATTAAGTTTCTCCTAGTAGTTATAAGAAACATGCTTAATTATTAATATGCAAAATGAAAGCGATAAAAGTTATTAGCGAATATTACACACACTTAAGGACTTGTTCAGCATATATTGCATATACTTTTAACAGTACGAAATGTATATGTTTATTACAATATTTAACTACACCATATATTGTCTGATGCAAGCATTTAATACCTTGTGTACACATTGTGTTATCCTGTGTATATATTTCTTACATCGCCTCGTGTATGCATTTATTGTGTTACCGTTAAAATATCTTGAAATATCTTCTCAGTTTCTTATACAAAACTGTTGTTGACTTTCAGAAAAACAATACTCACTGGTTTAAAAACACGTTATAATAAATAGCAACGCGTTCTAAAATTCTCACTCATACATTAGTTCAAATCACTATATTGCGCTATAAAAGAACCGGATGTTTGCTTAAACATGTTAGAATTATCCACGAAAATATATTTGCTAATTACTCCACAAAATTGAATGGATTTGTCCATTAAATGATTGAGTCAATCCCGCCAACTACTTTGTCACTACACGGGATCTGGTTTATTCTTATATGAACGCATTTACTATTCCATATTATTTCTTCTCTCTTTTTTATGGATTCCTTTGTAACAAAAGGATAAACTCTATATGCCGTTCTTCAGCGAGTTCACTGAGGAGAAAGTGTTGATACGGCCTATCAAGTTTTTAAATTTCAACTCAAAAAACTTCAAAATATATTTTCTCTTAATATTCTAAGTGATAGTTTTACTTACCTTGTTGACAGTAGGGCCCACCAAATCCCCACAAACAGGTGTCATTCTGGCAGATACCATTATTCTGAAAGTCACAAGAACTGGCATGTTTACAATTGCATCGGTATTGATAGTTTGGTCCAAACACCCGCATCTCTCTATTGCATCCTTCTGAAAGATTAACAAAAAATGTCAATAAATATGGAGAAAATTCTCATTCATTTCAAACATATAACTGTGTAACTGGCTTAGAATTATTTATATTATTATAGGAATAAAAAATTAATAAGTACTTTAAAAACATCAGCGAATTTAGCTCAAATTTTCCTTTTGATAACTTACTTCATATTGGAAATTATTGAAATAATCGCTAAGAAATATGAAATTTAATAAAACAGGCTCGTATGCGAGAAATGTATTAGAAGAATTTACGGATATTCAACTACTTCTTGATATTCTTTTAAATTCTCAACTTATTGCTTCGATATGTGAATTTATTTAATAATGCTGTAATTAGTCTCCCTTACACAGAACACAGGAATAGCTTACTGACACTTATATAAACTTTTGCGGTGAACGGAAACCAATTTCTTTCTTTCTTTCTTTCCCTTCACACAGATTATTCCCTACAGTCAAAAATGTAAGTATTACATTTCTTGTTTCAAATGCAGACATGTGTATTCTCTGATCGAAGGAAGATGTATGTTTCTTCTTTTTTTATTGTTATGGAATATTTTTTTTATAAAATATCAGACAATCTTGCATCATTTCCTTGAAAGCATGTCCAGTAGTAATGATATCTCATTGAGAGATGAAAGTACTTCAATGTTTTATATTAAATGCAAATAGCGAAAATATTTTTTATGTAACATTCTTATAACATCCCAATTTCATGCCGCTTGATAGTGATTAATGTCATAGTATTTGAAAGATAATTTCACAGAGAACGAAAGTCACTTAAATGTGCAAGACAAAGTTTAGGTACTACATCAAAATTTAAAACTGCAAAATAAATGAGTATATTTATTTGTTAACATAATGGGGACTTAGGATGTTCAAAGACAACAAGTACTCAGGCTAAATGCCATATCGAAACTTTACGGAATTAATAATCACTTTTTTAAAGATTCTTTATTTTTTCTGTTCTTTATCGGCTCTTGTATGTTACTATTAAATGTTTTATTAATCGAGAAATGAATTTATTAAAAATCATTGTTTACTGTAGTTTTCTTAAAAAGATGGTAAAAAATTTAATGTGTGAGGTGATCTCGTTCTGCAATAATCACATCATCACTCAATTAATTATGCGTAACATATCAATGTTTTTGATTCGTTCCAAGTTTTTTGTAAATTTTGTGTCCGTTTGTCTAGACATATTATGGAATTAGTAAACATTACATTCACTTTTCATTTGTTAATCTGTTAGAAATTGATGGGCGTTCTCTATGTAAACGTTTATATGCGTTCACGCGTGTAATTATGGGAGAATTGACACGAGATATATTAAGCAATATGTTAAAAAATGTCTACCCAAATTAAAGTACTCTGAGTGACACTTATTTAAAAATCTTACTTAATCATTTAGAAATTATTCTTACATTTTAGTCTTTACACTCTTGAAAAGAAAATAGTTTACAAAAGATCTTTCTGTTTTTTGTTATTCTAAAGTTGATTACAACATTTCAGTGGGTGAACGGAAATTGACATTTTACAATATTAGTTTCATCAAAATTGAAGGGTTTACGTTTTGAAAACGTTTAATTAAAACATCATTTATTTAAAGAAATGTGAATTTTGATGCAACAAATTGAACAAAAACAATGAAAGAGAACATATTGAATGTGATGGTGCTTATGAAATTATTAATTAATTATTAGTAGTAAAAAATCAATAAAAAATTTTTTTATTGCTATATTAATATAATTCATTTTATTTCATAATCTTAATATTTATGAAAAAAAAATCGTTTCTATAACCGAACAAAAAATTTGATGCTATTTTGCACATTAAATTCGAATATATATTCAAGTCTCTTAAAAAATATGTGATAATTTTTTTTTATCTTTTTATTCACATAGCATAAACTCCACAAATATAATTTTCAAATCTGTTCAGTACTGAACAACAAAATCCTTTCCCATCTACAATTTATTGAAATTTATCTTTATATCAGAAATGTCTCTAATTCTTCTTTGTAATATTATAAAGAAAATTTAATAAACCTTTTGCATAAAATATGGTTTTCTTTTTGCATAGAGATAACATCATGGTAATATTTTTTTCAAATATAATAAATAAATTCCATGTGTGGGGGTTGCGTTGAAATCGTCAGTGTTTATAAAAAATATTTCGTGTTATACCTGTTTTGTTCGGATCCACTTCACATTTTGGAAATCTCAAAGGAAGTACCATAAATCTCATCGCTGAAATACAATAGGAAAGAGCAATAATGTGATATTAGATAATAATAATAATAATAATAATAATAATAATAATAATAATAATTACATTCTTGGATCCTTAAGACTTCGGAAATGTACAAAGTCTCCCCTGTGTTATTAAATTTCCTTAAGCACAGCAAGGGAATGTTGAACACCAAACTATACTTTAGTCACACCGGGGGCACCGCCATATCCAATCGTCTGAATATCCGAAGTGGAATCTTTCAAGGAGACTCTCTGTCACCCCTTCTATTTTGTTTATCCTTAATCCCTCTTACAAATGAACTGAACAACAGTAGCTATGGTTACAAAACAAATAAGAAAATATTCAATCACCTACTCTACATGGATGATCTCAAACTCTACAATGAGTAGAAAGGCCTCCTCAATATTGTAAAATACTTCAGTGACGACATAGGCATGGAATTCGGATTAGATAAATGTGCAAAAGTAACATTCAAGAAAGGTAGAATTACAGAAACACCCTTAATAGATTTAGATTTGTCACAAAGATTAGGGAACTGGGGCATGATGAAGCTTATAAGTACCTAGGAATTAGCGAAGGAGATGTCATACAACACACCCAAATGAAGGAAAAAATAAGAAAAGAGTACTACAGGCGCGTACGTCTGGTACTAAATACTGAGCTAAACTCATAAAACAGAATATCAGCAATAAACACATTGGTTGTCCCTGTGGTGCAATACAGCTTTAATGTCCTTAACTGGACCATAGCTGAAATTAAGCGAATGGACGCCAAAACGAGAAAGCTTCTCACTTGCTATCGCATGCATCATCCCAAAGCTGATGTTGATCGTCTGTATGTTCCCAGATCCGAAGGAGGCAGAGGATTAGTTCAACTAGAAAAGTCCTACAAAACTACAACAATTGGCCTCCAAAGATATTTGGAAACTACAGAAGACTGGATGATGGTATGCGTCAAGGAACATGAAAGTAGTAAGAGTCTTTACTCCGGAATGAAAGAAGCCAACAAATTCAAATTGGAGTTTCAAATGAGCATAGAGATGCAACTACAGCACAATACACCGACTGAAACTGCAAAATACCTAAAAAAAACAGCAAAGACGAATGTAACCGACCAGATACAGAAGCGATGGAAAGATAAACCGCTTCATGGCCAATACTCTGCCCGTACCAAACAAGCTGACGAAGCCAAAACACGTACCCATCAGTGGCTACATAGTGCAGGGTTGAAAGCGGAAACTGAAGGTTTTATCCTTGCTGCGCAGGGCCAATGCTTGCTAACTAGGAATTATCAAACACATATACTAAAATATTGTGTTAGAACAAAATGCAGATTCTGTGATAAATATCCAGAAACGATTGATCATCTTGTATCAGGTTGCACGATGTTGGCACCCACTAAATATAAAACCCGACATGACAGAATGGGCCAATATCTGCACTGGAAAATCTGCAACTTCTACGGGAAGGAAACTGAAAGAAACTGGTATGAACACCACCTAGACCCAGTTACGGAAATAGGACCTGTTACAATTCTATGGGACTAAACAATACACACTGACAGAACAATCAACGCCAACCGCCCAGATATTGTTATTAAAGACCACAAACAAAAACGGTGCCTCCTTATTGATATGGCAGTCCTTGCTGACTGCAATGTATCTTTGAAGATATTCAAAAAGTTGTCAAAATACAAGGACCTTGAAATAGAAATCTCGAAAATGTGGCGAATGGGAACATCAATAATACCTGTTGTAGTTGGAGCCCTAGGACTGGCTGGAAAAGATTGCAGTAGACTAATTAAAGAGATTCCTGGAAGTCCATGCCTCATGGAGATATCAAATATTGTTCTGACAAGTACAGCCCACACTTTATGAAGGGCTTTATCTATGTATTTTTTTTTTTGTCAGTGGAAAGTGTCATGACGCCATTTCTAACCTTAGAAAACTCTGCGAACGATTTACAAAACCTAATTCAAATTGTGATGCTAAAACTTGACTGGGAAGCAAGAAGAGAGTCCCACCAACGAGAAGTGCGAGAAAAGAAACTCTTTGGATAAACCTTACGGTTACATCTAACTATTTCAAATGAAAAATAATGGGATTTTGCCTCCAATCTAGTCCTACGCTCAAATTCGTAAAGTTTAGGTACTATATAACAACATTTGACTTCAGAAATAGGGTTTAAGCCGTAAAAACATTCATGCTGAAACAGGTGTTACATTCGGGGAAAACATTCCAGCTTTATCAACAGGTTTTCTTGACACATTGAGAAGACCTGTTCTACGGCGTACGTCAGTTTTGCCCTCAGAACCAAATATAGTAAACTTGGACTCGTCACTGAAATGAACTGTATCCCATTGTGCGTCAGTCCAAACAACATGTTCTCTCGCATACCCCAGGCTTCGAAGCTGGATTACGGGCATGCTATCCTGCATTTTTTAACCTGCGAGCAACTGTTTTCCTTGAGATCTTATTATTGTCTCTTCATTAAATTTAGGGGCAATTGATGTAGCAGTTTCAAAACGGGTTTTTATTTGTAGATATTCTAACAATTCTTCGATCTTCTCTTTGCGATGTTTTTGGAGGTCTGCCGGTTTTTGATTTTGCATCTAACATTTTATCGGTTATATAAACAATATCTTTATTTTTATAGTTAGCGATAATGAGTTTTTTCTTCAAATGAGAGCATTTTGCGTGTAGAATTTGCCATATTGCTTAAAAATAAAGTCCTAATGATAAATGAACTTTTACTTATTGTTGAAAAGATCCTTCGAGTTTTTTTTTAACAATGTAAATTAAACGTTTATGCAAATTATTAACATCGTTCCTTAACTTTTGTCCAGTAGCTTATTTCCTTTGTTCCATTTTATCATTATTTAAAAAAAAAACTATTGTGCAAATTTTTGTAACTTTGCATAATATTTATGCATTACACCCAAATCTTTCATTGCTAATCATGCATTACCTTTTAAGTAATACACATATTTATGTCTTTGTTGTTTCCGTTGCTTATGTTATGGCCGCTATTGTACGTAAACGTAAGAAATAGATACGCGTTAATCACTCCGCGGTTTTTAGTATTCTTAACGTTTTCTTCCTCAATGTTCTTGAAGCATAAATTAATTTAAATCCCACCCGTATATTTTTATATGTTAAATGAATATATGTATGGATATGGTTCGTTAATTTTTAATTAATTTTTTTATTTTGAATTTTTTTTTTTTAACTTTTACCTTTTGATTTATATATAGATATGTATGTGTGCGTGTATGTGTGTGTATGTGTATATATATATATATATATATATATATATATATATATATATATATATGTAGATGTATATATATATATATGTGTGTGTGTGTGTATCTATATGTATGTGTGTATGTAGATGTGTTTATATGTGTGTGTGTGTGTATGTTTAGGTATGTATGTATACATATGTATATTTATATGGGTGCATAGGTATGTATGTATGTATGTATAGTTAGACGGATAGATTGAGAGATACATTATTTATTTGTTTGGATGTGTGTAGGTATGTAATTGTATGGAGATGTGTAAGGTTTTATGTATATATGTTTATGTGCACGTATGTGTATGTCCGTATGTATATGTGTGGAAATGTGCATATATGTAGGAGTAGATGTGTATGGATGTATGTGTGTGTATAGTTATGTGTATATAGTTATGTGTGTACACGCCTATATGGATATATATACGAGGAATATAGATACGTTGTTGTGTCTGTCTGTATATGTATGTGTTTTTGAACATAGAAATAATAGGTCCTTGCTAGTTTAGATAATCGCTATGTTTCTATGTTTATATTAGATTTGTAACCTGTAGTAGATATTATTTTGTCAAATTTTCTTGATTGCACAACGGTCCTTTTATAAATGGCCTTCGATTTTAGCTGCACCCCACCGTATCTTCCACAACCCTCCTTTTTTTCTCTCTCGCATCTTCCGATCTTTAAGTGTATCGTCTCTTTTGTGGGTGTGTCACCACAAAATGTATACTCTTTTCCGGTGTCTATCTTTAATTTATTTTAGGTCAGCGATTCGGAAAATATTAGACATATTAGAATATTCATATTTATTTGTATCTGACTCCCCTCCTTAAAACTTCATCTTTAGACCTTACTGTTCTTCTCTCGTCTGTTACTCCTCCCTATAGTTTTCATTTACTCTCGCATTCGTCCCACTCTCGCATACATACACTCTCACTAAATTAGTTTTTATTCCCGGAGTTATTTTTTCTGATTTTTTTTTTTTTGAATTTGTAGGTCTGATGAATTGGATCGTATATATATATATATATATATATATATATATATATATATATATATATATAATAAACAAAGAACAGTAAGATATATAATCCAGTGTTCTTATAGATATTTTTATTTTTACAAAATAGTGCTCAATGTAAATTTACAGAGCATTAATATTATAAATTAATTGATTTAAAATATGTTTTTCCGCTACACAGTTCTAACCATGTTTCAAAAATGGAAGCTAAAAGCCCCGAATTTAATTTTGTAATTAAATTAAAAACATTAGTTCCATTTCCTCCTCAAGCGAATTTTGGAGTAACTTTTAAAATTACTGGGTTTTAAAGACACAGCTAAAATCATAATTCATGTTTCCAAGGTTACAGATGAATTCATTTTACTAGACGAGGGGTATCTGGGTGTTCAATATATCTATATTTTAATGTATCAGTTATTGCTACGTTTTGGTAGTGGGTAGGGATGTATTTTTCAATGAAATCTAACATCCGTTAAAAGCGTGTCATCTGGATCTTTTTTAGATTTTATTGTTAACGACAAAGATACTTACGGCATTTTTTCCTTAGTATATTTAAAGATTTTTAGGGGGCGTTTAGGTTAGAATACTTTTTATTTAACTACGATTTGAAATATTTTTACTTTTAATTTTTAATATACTATATTTCTTTTAAGAACAATTAAACGTAATGAGAATCCCTTAC